TCAAACGGATTTTATGCTTTCTTTAAACTTTCACTGGTTTTCCCTAGCTCTTGGAATAAAGGCCAAACCCATGACCATGGGCAAAAAACCCTTCATATATGGCCCCCACCTGTCCCTCAGGTCCAGTGTCAGCCACCCTCCCCTGACTCCCTCTCCTGCTGCACTGCTCTTACACATGCTACTTTGTCTGGCTATGCGCGTTCCCCTCTCCTAATCCTGCGCTTTCCTTGTAAACTTCTCCACTCATCCTTCAGCTCTCGGATGAAATGCCACTATTTCAGGGAACTCTTCCCCCAAGCCTCCAGCCCAGGTCAGTTTGCATTGTAAGCTCTCGTAAACAAATGTCCCTTTCCTTCAGAGTACTTACCTCAGTTACACAGGGCAGGGCAAAAGTAGGTTTACATTTATTTGTATGAAAAATAATACAACAATTAATCAATGATAATACAAGAATAAACTCTGTTTTTGCATGCTCACAACTATAAACCTACTTTCCCCCCACCCTGCATACATTCATTTGTGATCATTTGATTCACGTCTGTCTCCCTCCACTCCAATATAAATTCTATGAGAGAAGGGGCAGTGTCTGATTTTCACTGCACCCAGTCGGTGAGTGCAGAGCCTGGCAGAAAAAAGGCACATGTGAATATGTTGCTATAGTTTGAATGTTTGTGTCCTCCCAAATTCATGTGGTGCAATCCTAACCCCCAAAGATCATCGTATTAGGAGGCAGGGCATCTCGGAGGTACTTAGTTTATGAAGGTGGAAACCTCATGAATGGGATCAGTGCCTTAGAAAAAAGGCTCCACAGGGCCGCTTGCCCCTTCCACCATGTGGGAACACAGTCAGAAGGTGCTGGCTATGAACCAGGTAGAGGGCCCTGACCAGAAGGTGACCACCTTGGTTTGGACTTCCAATATTCAGGGCCATGAGAAATAAACTTACATTTTATATAAGCTACCCACTCAGAGGTATGTTATTATAGCAGCCTGAACCGATTAAGCCACGTTAGATAAATGGAGGAACCAGATACCAGGCTGGGATAATTCCCAGGTTTTAGCTGGGGTGACTAGGTGGGGCCATCTCTCAGAAAACCACAGGAAGAGAAGCACAGCTGATGGGGAAGATATGAGGGCAGCATGGACAGGCTGACTTTGAGGTATGCTTGGGACATTCAGGTGGAGATGTTGAGTAACAACATGAAAGTTAATCTCCTAAGCCTGGGCTGCAGATAGGAATGTGGAGGTCATCACTCTACAGACTGATAGTTAAACCGTGTAAGCTCATGTGATCACGCTGGGAGTAGCAAGCGCAAGGTGAGCCCAGAACAGAACTCTGGGGAAATCAACATCTCGGAGCACAGAGGAAAAATAACTGAAGAAGACAAAAGACATGGTCGGCGAGGTAGACAAGCCAAGAGAGGAGGAGATTTTGGAAGCTCTTAGAGCAGAGCCTTATCCACGTAACTGCTTGTGCTATGATGTATATAATATATGTCCTCAAACCAATTGATTTTTTTTCATATATTTGTTTATAAGAGAAATTTATATTATCCATGAAATCCTGGATTCACTGCGTTGGGCATCTATTTTAATATATGTTAAATACATAACTTTTTAAAAAATATTATTTCTCTACCACCTGAAATCACCTCATGAGGTGTGGAGAGCACAATTAGAACAGAAACCATGACATTTTAGTGGCCTAAATCTGAATGACTTGAGAGATTTTCGTTAGTAGGCCAAAACTGGGCAGAGGGATTGGATACTTGTTCAGCAGAAGGAGCAAGGCAGTGAGACACTTTCAGGAGCCGGTAAAAGGAAAGTTCCAGTAATTGGTCATAGTGGTATAAGCTGACTGACTAAAGGAGGAGGCTGAAAGGAGTAGAGATTTGGGTCAAATAAAGGGACACAGAGGCTTACAATCTCAGACAGAGGAGTTTTAGGGGTAGGCGGGAGGTAAGGTCCAGATGGCTGAAGAGAAAGGGATGCAAAAGTCACTGAGTTAAGAAAGCAAAACCTTGAAAAGCTGGGGATAAAATGGGCTGGCTGTCCGCACTGGCAGCCTGTCAGGATGCTGGCTAGCATTGTAATGGAAAATTTGAGAGCCCACCAGGAATGTGGAGCAAGTGGCCAAGAAGTTAGGTGGTGGTGGTGATGAAAAAAGGAGGTCAAGGGAATGACAAAGGAGAAGCATTTTCACATAAGGTAGAGATGAAATAGTAGCCTGGAAGAGACAGTGTCGAGCCAAGCAGCATATGGGGCCGAGCAAAAAGGGCGGTCTCCATTAGGGGGAGCTTCAAGCAAGAGGTAGGACTTGGTGTTCTCTGAGGAGCTGGTGGCAGGGCTAGGGGGGTTATACAAAAATATAGTTACAGAGGCCCAAAGACAAAGAGTTGGGAGGAAAAGAAAGAAATCAAGAGCCAGTCTAGAAGAAGAAAAGAATACCGTGGACAAAGATGGTGGTGCCAAAGGGCTCAAGGAACAAGGGCAGTATGGGGTCCCCACTAAGCACCACTCAGTTGCCTCCGAACCACGGGAAGAAGCAGGAGTGTGCCTTTTAAGAAAACAGAGCTCCTGGGAACAAGAGGTATCTATAGAAGAGCTGTCTTGCCTTGGGAAAAAAACCCTGAGCCAGTTATTTCTGGAAAATTACGAGAGACTTATAGAGAAGAGAAGCCTCAAACCCTCAGCTTTTTTGGTTTATAGGGAATAATCTTCCCATTGCTCACTCCGGATTCCATTTTCCCTCTGCGAGGCCTAAGACCAAGGCTCTAACTGAAGGCCAAACCAGCCCGCAGAAATTCAGATTGTCAAAATGCTCATAATTTCCCCCAAGTGAACAGCAGAGGGCAGAAAAGAGCCAAAAGGGAAGCTGAGCCCACACAGGAGACCAGAAATAGTGAAGAACGGAAAGTGAACTAGGCTTCTGAAATCATACCATGCTGTCACGGTACCTACGACGTTGCATTACAACGGTCCATCTTCCCCCGTAGATGAGGAAGGGAGGCTCCCAGCCTGATGTGGTTAGGAGACAGTCGTCTGTCTTTTAGGACAGCTTGGTGTGCGGTAAAGAGTACTGGTTTGGGAGGGAATCTAGGCTGACTTTGAATCTGGGCTGTGGGCAAGACACCTAACATTTCTGAGCCTTGATTTTCTCCTCCGTAGAAGGAAGATTTTTCACCGGATTGGCTGTGATGAGAAAATAGATAAAACATGCCTAGCACAGTATCTCACAAACAGTAAACAATAAAAAGAAAGCATTGATATTTATACTGTTGTTATTATTATAGCCTTTTCTCAGAGTCAGGCACCAAAGGAGAGGGGGAGAAATCACTAACAGTAGATAATAAATAGAAATTTGGACTTGGAATTCCTACTTCCTCAGCTCAGTTTCCCTGAACAGTGCAGCAATAGACCCAACAGCAGGCCACAGTGGAATCAGCCACTTCTAGAAGGTGCTGCTTCCCAAACTGTGTTTTGTTTGTTGGAGGGGAGAGCAGGGAATGCCTACTTGGTATTTTCTGTGTCAGACCAGTCTAGGTCAGCTACCTGACAGATTTTTATAAGCGCCTCAGAGCACAAACAGGTTTAACTAATAGCCCATGCGCATTTGGCTAGTACTTGCATCACACCCAAGAGACCAGCAACAATGAGTGGTGGGGGTATGGATGGAGCCTTGGGACCGCTGCCTGCCTGGTGCCCTTCAGAATGAGTCTATCTCCAAGATTTAGGTATTGTTAGGAAATTATTTCCTGTGCCACAGGGGACAGACAAGAGAAACAACACAGGAGCCCTGGCTATTGGAACTTCAGACTTCCTTTAAAGCTCAGAGGGAAAAATAGTGCATTTAAAGCACATGAAGAGCTAAGATCTCTTTGACAGTGTGAGACCCCAAGTGACTGCACAGCGTAAGAGCTGTCTCAAAGAATATTTAGATAAGTCCTCAGAATATCAGTTGATAGAAACCATGCACAGGGACAAATCACTGGACTGGTAGTAGCCATCATAGACAGCAATAATGCCTATCCACAAACATGTCCCTGGATTGACTGGCTCTTGAGGCTGCCCCATGCCAGGAGTTCTGCCAGAACTCTTGAGTTAGAGGAAGCGCACTTCCAAACCATGTTCCAGTGGGCTCAAGGGCAATGCAACAGAAATAAAACCCTTGCTGCCTGGGGTGAGGTAGGGAGGGATGATCTCCCAGAACACTCCCAGCAACCAAAATAAAGGGGCTTATGGCTAACATTAGAATAGGCTACCTTCCAGGTATAGGCCTTACAGGATGGTAAGAACACTGGGAAGGAGCTGCTCTCACGCAGTCTAAAAGGGATAGGAACTTCCCTTCCCTTTTGTCTACTACACAATAGACAGAGGGGATAATTTAAGGGGCGTTGTAAGATCACAAATCAGCTTACATTCTATGCCACCTCTCCCAGGTTGGTGGTTTCTCCCTCATGACCAAATAAAGGTTTTCCACAGATTATTTCACATGAAGGCCACTGCTTTCACCTGCCTCTGCCTTCTCAATCCCATAATCCCACAGTCCCTGGACTTCTGGCCTTTCAGTGTCTTCTTTGGTTCTGAGAGGATGAATATAGTGAGCAAGAGCACAAGGTGTATCTACTGAGAGGGCTGAGTGCTTCCTTCTCTCCTTCCACCTCACACTGCACACTGAAGCAAGGAGAAGGCACAAGCACAAGCAAGTGGCCAAGTGTGGGAGGTTCCACGTAAACCTGAACAACCACAGTCAAAGAGTTCAAGGTTTAGGCCCTGGAACACACAGTGAGCAGTACCAACTTCATTCACAAAGGACGGTTCTAAAAGCCCCTGTCCATGCCCATTTCCCACTGCCTGGTATCTGACATAAAGAATGCTATGGAAACCAAACCAGACAGAAGTGCAAGATCCTGATAGGCACCCAAGAAGCTGTGACTCCCGAAAATAGAAGGGAGCATTTAGGTATTAGGGTGGAATAGGAATATGGTTCGCTGGCCTTACCTCCTTTCCAAAGCAGGTAGATGGGTACCACGTAGAGCATAACATGCTGAATGTAGTAAATCTCCAATTCAAAGGGGAGCTGCAAGGACAGGGGAGAGAGGTGTTTTAGAGCAAGAAGGACACATTTCAACAGATTCTGAACTTGAACACTTTTGCTCTTTACAACCCACATCTTAGCAACCCCGTGCATTTCACCAGTTCACCACCTTAACAATCAGATTTTTTTTTTTTAAAGAGACTAAAATGAATATACTGATGTCCTAGACTGGCATCTTCCAAAGTGCATTTTGCTGAGATGATGCTTGAAAAATGTTCCAATAAGGAAGTGGGTTACTCCATAACTTCTGGCTGTGAAAACCAGTAGGGATCACGGCTGAGAAAGATGGAGGGCTTCTGGAGTACCACGCAGTTCTCCTTTTTCGTTTTTTTAATTTTTAAATTTATTTTTATCACTTTTTCGGTATTTTTATTACATTACCTTTTAGTCCCCTTATACCCCCCTGCCCCCAGCAAGTGCCACACTGCTGTCCATGTCCATGAGTCCTTTCTCCTTTTTGCTCAATTCCCCTGCCCCCTAACCATCCCTACCTCTAGTGCCTGCACAGAGACTTACTCAGTCTCAGTCACTCTGAGCTCCAGCACCGGGACAGCAGCTTGAAAGGAATTAGGCACATATGGGGAGGAACTGAATTGTCTGGCATCAGGGCAAAAACTGGGGTGGGGGGCAGCTTTCTGCCAGACAAAAGTGCTGGCAGAGGATATTGTTCCTTTCCTGAGACAACCCACCTCCCAACAGAGCTGGCAGGTGGGGGCCACATCTAAGTCTCCATCAGCCTGGCTCACACTGTTCACCACACCCTGGTGATTCCCTGAGACCATGCCCCACCCAACTTGTGGGCCCACCCAATATGTTTCCAGTAGCTTTTCAATACAAATGGCAATTTGGAAGGCAAGGTAAAACAAAACGCTGAATCAGAACAGCAAAAAGGAAAATGAACTTAAAAAATGAGGGCAGTGTAAGGAGGCTCTGGAACAAAATCAGGTGCACCAACATTAGCATCATGGGGGTGTGCCAGAAGGAGAAGAGACAGAGAGCAAGAAATTGAAAACCTATTTAAAGAAACAACGACTTAAAACTTCCCTAACATGGTTAAGGAAATAGACTTATAATTCCAGGAAGTGCAGGCAGCCCCAAACAAGATGAACCCAAAGAGAGTCACATGAAGACACATCACAATTAAAATGCAAAAGGTTAAAGACAGAGAATATGAAAAGGAGCAAGAGAAAAACAGTTTAGCAACAAGGGAGGCCCCATTAGACTGTCAGCTGATTTCTCATCAGTAACTTTTCAGGCTAGAAGGGATTGGCATGAAACATTCAAAGTGATGAAAAGCAAGGGCCTACAGCCAAGATTGCTACACCCAGGAAAGCTATCATTTAGAATCAAAAGGCAGACAAAGAGCTTCCCAGACAAGACAAAGCTAAAGGAGTTCATCACCACCAAACCAGTATTACATGAAATGTTAAATTGTTTTGTTTAAGAAGAAAAAAATGTTTAAAATTATGAACAATAAAATGGCAATAAATACATACATATCAACAATTATATCTAAAAAAGCAAAATAAATGATCAAGCAGAACAGAGACAGACTGATACAGAGGACATTTTGACAAATGCCAGATGGGAGGGGGATTGGGGGGGGTGCATGAAAATAGTGAAGGGATTAACGAGTACAAATAGGTAGTTACAGAATAGTCATGGGAATGTAAAGTACAGCACAGGGAATATAGTCAATAACATTCTAATAACTGTGGTGTCAAATGGGTGTAAGATTAATTGGGATGATCACTTAGTAAGTTATGTAACATCTAATCACTGGGGTGTACACCTGAAACTAATATAATATTGTACATCAACTCTAATTTAAAAATAAAAAAATGATTTAAAAAGATAGAACTTGGGTGGTTCTCTACAATTACAAAATCTGCTCAGTATTGTTTATCCAGTGTTTTCCAAACTTAGTTAACCAGTGCCTTTTTAAAAATAACACTCAGTATTCTGAAGAATACGCTGGAAGAAACACAGCCTTATGTCGCTTCCTGTTCCTGGTAAGTAGCTGGTGAGCTATTTAAAAGCTTATTGATCATTTGACATGAAGAACATATGGAATAGGATTTATTATTCCTAATTTCCAGATGAAAAGAAGAACACTTGCTAGAGCCAATGTACTCTAGATCCAAGAATAAAGAGTTTCCCCACCAGATATTTGGGGTCAGTCCAGAGTTACCCCTATTTTTGGGTAAAGACCAAGCAACTGGGCCAATATTTTTTGTCATATGTTGCCAAAAAATAGTCCCCAACCTCCCTCCATCTAACATGCTCATTCATTCACTCCTGTTTCCCATTTCTCTCTCATAATGGAAGCTCTGGATTACCAAGGCAGAGCAGTTTCAAGCTAGCATGGGCACCACGCTGTACACCATGGCAGCGGGTAGAGAATGGAAATGGCTAGGTGACTAACTCAACCCCAGCAGCTGACAAGAGGCCTGGCCTCCAAGTTTACACAGCCCTCAACACACACTCCCGTAAAGGGAAGCCCAGAGAAACAAGGACACCCAGGGGAAGGGTCAGCTGCCTCCTTGTTCCTACAGCACATGCACAAGAAGCAAGGCTTTGTGCTAATGAGAGAAGGCATTTATGGGTTCCCCAGGCCCGGGAGCCCACGCCTGCCTCGTGCCAAGAGCTGAGACTGAAAGATGGCAGAGCAGCCAGAATGACAGCTGGGACAACTGTGGATCCTGGACAGACGCTGGCTCTGGTTCTTGAAAATAAAACCCACACAGAAGAAAAATTTCCCATGGATCCAGATTACACTCGACTATTATTTTATGTTCACAGAGGGAAATGCAAAAATCCCAGAAAAACAGATAGGTTCCAAGCATCTCTATAGACCATAATGGCATAGCTGGGATAACATCACAGGGTTTGACAATGGGCATCACAAGCAAAAGGTAGTTATGGAGGCTTGAGAGGCCCATACTGGACCCTCATAGTAATGTGGTCTTGGATCACCCTATCTTAAATTTCAGTACTGATTCATGTTTTCTCTAATGTTTTCGCATCCATTATCAACTCAATCCTCTCAAAACCCCCTGAAGTAGGGAGGTAAAGTATCATCATCATTTGACAGATGAGGAAACTGAGATGCAAAAGGGTTAACTGGCTTGATGGTGGTCACCCAGCAAACGGGCAAGGAGGAAAAGGACCCAGGAAGGCAGCGCTCTGGCTGTAATCTGAATTTTCAGGTACCTATGGGACTTGCCCTCTCCCTGAAACAGTCCTGGGTGCCCAGGCTGCTCTCCCACAGCAGGGGGCAGAGAACCAGGCCAAGGATCAGCAGCCCGTGCTCCCAGCCATGTTGTCAAACAGTATCTGTGCTAGCCTTTCAGACTCTATTTACCCCCACTAGACTCACCGTGCCCACTTGCTTCTCCCTCCCTGACAGCGCCCCGTAGGAAGCAAACTGCCCACCTGCATGTCCAGTTTAGTACTGTGGCTGCAAGGACTCTGGAGTCTATCAAATTTGTGTTCTAGATTTGATTCTGCCACTTAATAGCCCTGTGGTCTCAGGTAAGTCACTTAACCTCCCCGCCCCAGTCAAATGAAGATAACTGTGGCTATTGTAAGATTGTTGTAAGATCTGTAGTTGCAAAAAATAACAATCATTTATATAGCACTTAGTATGTTCCAGGAACTATTATAACCACTTAGTTAACTATTATTCCACCTAATCCTTGTAACAACTAAGCAGCAGGTACTCAAATAACATTGTTTCCTTCAATCTGGTTTTGTTACAAAGTTGATGAGCTGCTGTAGGAATTTAACTCTTGTTTCTATCAATGAGCCTGTGATACAACTGGTTTTGTAGTATGCCGTTTTGCTTAAAGTCACAGAACCTACTGATGAGGTTAAGTGAGGACGTACTGTACTCTTCCAATTATCACCATTTTATAGATGAGAAATTGAGACACAGAGAGGTTAAATAACTTACCCAAGGGCACATGACAAATTCAGTGACAGAATCAAGATTCAAACCCAGGCAGTCTGGCTCTAGACTGTATAGATTTAGCTGGTATTCACTACTTCCCACTGTCACTCCCTCCACCATCCTGCCCCATTTAAAAAAAAAAAAAAGGCTTACGCTCAGAAGATGCTCAGTGGATAGAAGCTGCTGTAATTAATGAGACTGGTAAAGGTAGTACATTAGCAGCACCAAAATTAGTACTTGTCCTCACTGTCCTTTACATGGGGCCTGGGCATGGCCCCTTCTTGTTCACATGACCCTCTCCTTCACAGCCTGCTCTGTACCCCTGTAGCTCTAGCCCCACATCACACAGTGGCCCAGCTTGGCCTGCAGCACCAGCCCACTGAAGCTGTGTAGACACCTCACGCACAGATCTCAGTTGGGATGGCCAGGAGACTGACCCATCAGTAGTGTCCTTCCTCTGAGAGCTGCCTCGCCCCGTATTCCAAGAGTTCCCTACCTTGGAAGGCCACAGGGAGTGTTAAAGTGAGTGTGGGCATCACTTAAGAGTCAGGACCAGGGAAGAGAAAGAGGATACAGGCAAAGGAAGAAGTATGGGAGCATAAGGAGAGGAAAGAGATAGAAGAGATTGGGGGGGGGGGATATGAAAACACACACGCGCGCACACACACACACAAGTGGCAGGAAGAAGGGAGCAGACTGGGAACAAGAACCTGCCACTGGTCACTTAATAAGAATATTTATGAAGCACTTATGTACCATGCACTGTGTCAAATACTTTCACCTGTGTTATTTCACTTAATCATTGTAAGTTTCCTATGAAGCAGGAACTATGATCATTCCCATTTGACAGATAAGGAAACTGAGACAGAGAGATGTTAAATAATATCCAAAGCAGCAGCAGCAGGGCAGGGATGGTAAAGGATATCTGGCAATGAAGAAGGAAAAAAAAAGGCAATATTCTTTACTGAGCACTGAATCTAGGCCGAGTCCCAGGGACTTTCTCATGGAGCCTCCCCACTTTCTTCTCCCC